CTCTCTGCAGTGAGTGTGTAGTGTTCAGTCCCTCTCGCTCTCTGCAGTGAGTGTGTAGTGTCCAGTCCCTCTCTCTGCAGTGAGTGTGTAGTGTCCGGTATATCTCTCTCTCTGCAGTCAGTGTGTAGTGTCCAGTCCCTCTATCTCTCTGCAGTGAGTGTGTAGTGTTCAGTCCCTCTCTCCCTCGTCAGTGAGTGTGTAGTGTTCAGTCCCTCTCTCCCTCGTCAGTGAGTGTGTAGTGTCCTGTCCCTCTCTATCTCTGCAGTGAGTGTGTAGTGTCCAGTCCCTCTCTATCTCTGCAGTGGGTGTGTAGTGTCCAGTCCCTCTCTCTCTGCAGTGAGTGTGTAGTGTTCAGTCCCTCTATCTCTCTGCAGTGAGTGTGTAGTGCCCAGTATATCTCTCTCTCAGCAGTGAGTGTGTAGTGCCCAGTATATCTCTCTCTCAGCAGTGAGTGTGTAGTGTCCAGTCCCTCTCTCCCTCGTCAGTGAGTGTGTAGTGTCCTGTCCCTCTCTCTCTCTGAAGTGGGGTGTGTAGTGTCCAGTCCCTCTCTCTGCAGTGAGTGTGTAGTGTTCAGTCCCTCTCTCTGCAGTGAGTGTGTAGTGTTCAGTCCCTCTCGCTCTCTGCAGTGAGTGTGTAGTGCCCAGTATATCTCTCTCTCTGCAGTGAGTGTGTAGTGTCCTGTCCCTCTCTCTCTCTGCAGTGGGTGTGTAGTGTCCAGTCCCTCTCTCCCTCGTCAGTGAGTGTGTAGTGTCCAGTCCCTCTCTCTCTGCAGTGGGTGCGAAGTGTTCAGTCCCTCTCCTCTATGATGGCTCCCAGAAGGGTTGGGCTTGCATGCGTGTTGCAAAGCAGTGTGATCCACTCAGGGTTTTCCCAGCGGCAGGCGGTGCCGGGGGTCTCGTTCCTGTGACTGAGTTTCGGTGAGCCTGGTGCAGACGCGTGTGTTTGCTTTCCGGCGGGGGGGAGAGCCCCTCCCCCACAGCAGCTGTCCCGGGACGCCTGGGGCTGGGGGCGACAGCAGTGCTTGGTTTACAGCCGTGTCAAAATGCCTTTTGGTTGTTCTTTTGTA